CCGATTGGTACGTGGATGTTACGGAAACGCCGATTGGTACGTGGATGTTACGGAAACGCCGATTGGTACGTGGATGTTACGGAAACGCCGATTGGTACGTGGATGTTACGTAAACGCCGATCGGTACGTGGATGTCTCTTCCCTGACCTGGATCTTTCACATTCACTCAATCAATAACAATCATCTATACTCTCAGAAAATAGGGTAAAAATTGGTACCTTTGCTTGTCACTGGGTCTGTACCCCTGAGGGTCTGCCAATTGTACCATTAGCTGCAGGTAATTGTGTTTTTTAAGGTAAAGAAATGGACTCTGAGGAACATTTCTGTACCACTGATGGTACATTAATGCTGTTTGGACCTTTGGGATGTTCCTCAGAGTCCATTTTTGTACCTTAAAAGGTAGAATTACAAGGGTACAGCCCCAGTGACAAGCAAAGGTACAAATTTTTGCCCTTTTTTCTGAGAGTGTATACCTCTGCAGTCGTCTGCCTCCCGTGTGGAAACTTCTCAACATCTCTTGCCAAGTTTGCCGACTGCACTCGTTAAGCTTCTGTGAGTTATACACCATGGCTGTAATGAGTGATATTGCGAGGAATATGTATATACTTGTGCATGGAGATGTGGGGCAACAACACGGCGGTGCCTCTAACTGCCTTCCGCAGAGATCCTGTACTGGATAAGGCACTGGATAAGGCACTGGAAGGTGCATGGAAAGACGTAAGGGACTGCTGAATGGCTTTATACATCCTTCATTTGTGCTCAGCGGTGCAGTCTTATGTATGAGACATGAAACTTAATACTCGTGTCTGTACTTGGTTGTTTGGTGTATTGTGGGCAGCAACGTGCCTCAGTGGGGGACACTGTCGTCTCACATCTCCAGGATTGGAAGTATTCAAATCCCTGTGTGTGTGTGGATGCTCCAGGTCTACATTACATTGTGGGGACCAAATGTCTCCACAATGTGATTAAAAACCTGTTGTTTTGAGATTGTGGGGATGTGTGACTGCAGTAAAAAAAAAACTAAAAATGCCAAAAGTTGCTTATGGTTAAGGATAGGACTGGGTAGGGTTTTGACCATAGAAATGAATGGACTGTCCTCACAAAGATGAGAAAAGGTGTGTGTGTGTGTGTGTGTGTGTGTGTGTGTGTGGGGAGTTTGGATGAGAGATCAAATCTACATTATAGTCTGCAGTGTAGAAATACCCTCCTATCTCTTAATGGTGGAAATGTATGAACTTGCCTATTTCCTTAAATCTGTCAAATGTACTAAGACAGCAGCAATGTTGTGTATCAGGCACAGACCTTGATTTCTCCCCTAGTTTGGTGACATCTGTTCTAATGCTCCTGTTTGGCCAGATGATGGCTGTGGTCCATCTTTCCTGGGATCGGAGAGCGGGGTTCTCTCCTCAAAGAGGTACCCTGACACCTACCCCAACAACTCGCAGTGCGAGTGGAAGATCCGCGTGGCCAAGGGCAACAGCGGCATCGTCTTCAGGTTCGGCGACCTCGACATCGAGGCATCGCTGTGCGAGTCGAGCTACGTCCGAGTCTTCCCGGGGCACCACGGCGATGGTTCCGGTGAGTGACAGCCCCGACCCAGAATGTGTACAGGAGTGCTACAATCAGCCATTCTGCTAGACTCCAAAATTTGTTGAAGATTTTAAGCAAATACCTTTTTGAAGGCAGCAGGCTACAGGAAACATTAGCACCTGTACTGCTCTGTTGCCTAGCGACAAAAGAAAATGAGCTACAGTCATTGTCATCTGCAAGGTTGAGAGCTGGTGATGACACCAAGCCAATGCTAGTAATTAACAACTGCAAATACCTAAATTTCTTTTATTAAAATTTGGCAGCCAGGTAAAATTTACCTTCTAAACTTCCTTGCTTGATTTTAATTGGTGGTAATGGTGCAAATTTTATGACAAATATGAAGGAAAAATGGATGCATTTCCGTGCTGCTCTTTTGAGAGTCTTTCTGCAATACAAAGCTTGCTGGTAGTTAAACAAGCATAAATGTGGTGCCTTAATATTTATATCAGTTATTTATCTCCCGTGACGGCTGACTTTCTGGATCGTTTGACGAGCTATCAGCTTCCGTATCCTTCCAATTCTGTTGCATTTGCACCGTAAAATTGGCTGTAATGCGTCTGAAAAAAAATTGCGTGTGTAATTGATCGAAGTGCTTGAATGTTTATGGGCCACGTTTTGGAGAATGAAACTATGGGCGGGGCGTTCTCTCGCCGTCTGCTGTGTAGACGCATGAGGACATAGGGCAGCGATTACAGAGACCACAGCAGACGTGTGTGTGCGCGCATCGGCCAGGTGCAAACCCGGCCTGCAGGGGGCAGTCTGTCAGGTGACCGTGAGCGAAGAAGCTATACTGCTACGGCACTGTTCAACCCGATGCCGAGTGCCTACGCTCTACCTACGGTATCCCCTTATACGGTATCCCCTTATACGGTATCCCCTTTTACGGTATCCCCTTATACGGTATCCCCTTATACGGTATCCCCTTATAAACCCCGCATGACCTGCCTGATCGTATGATCTGTCTGTCCCAACCAGTAAGTGGTGAGGTTGACTCCTGGGGCAGGTTGTGTGTGTCTTAGGGCAGAGTGTGGCTCAGCAGGTTAGGCCACTGTGCCCAGAAGGTCACTGGTTCAGATCCCGTGGTCAGCAGAATGATGTCACCCTTGGGCCCCTGGACAAGGACCCTAACCCCCAGTTGCTCCAGGGACAGGGCTGACCCTGCCGTTCTCAATAATGCATCACTTTATTAATGTAAAATGTACATGTGTTGGGGGTTAATGGAGCCTGACTTGTGAGAGTGTTAAGACGTAGCTTTGCAAACGGATCGCCCCAGGTGAGGGAGAGGGAGACACAAACCGGGTACAACTCCCATGTGAGATCACTGCAGACAGGCTTTGCGCATGCTGGGGCTCCGTTCTCTTGTCTGTTTTCACAGTGGGGTAGGCAGGACTGCGCCAGCTGGAGGGGCCTTTGTGTTCGTCTGTGAGGGGGAGGCACTGCTTGGCTGGGCTGTTACGCAGTCTAGGGTGCTTATGGTTAGTATAAGAGTATTAATCCCGCTGTCCTCACACAACCCCCAAGTCGGAGGCAAAACTGTAACATGTGTTTGAGGCTTAGCTCTTTGTAGATGGAGTCCTCGTGCAGTAAGGTTCTGTTTTTATGACTCTCATGAGACGTTCGGCAGCCTCATGTGTGAGTCACCGTGATTAATTGTGTCTGTCGAGCCGCCCCGGGTGAGTGGCTCAGAGGCTTGAGTGGCAGAGCCGATCGGCCCGGCATCCGTCATGATTACTCTTTGAGGGTTTAGTGACACCATCCGTCTTGAGCTTGCTTCAGTCAGGCGGAGAGACGCGTGTGCGGAGAAGGCTAAATCTTTCAGGACAGCTTGCAATAAATAAAGTGCAAGCTCTCATTCGACGACACGACACTGCCAGATAGTTAACTTTTCCGGATAGTTCAATGTTACTTTTGAAAAACACTGAATGGCATTTTAGTTGTTTGGTTTGATGACCTGACTCAAAGGTACAACGGCAGGCCCCTCTGTGACTCACACCAGCAACCTTAAAATTACACGTCAGTGTCCTTGCCCACTCGTGGTCGGCAGAGTGATGACGCCCTTGTGTTGCAGGCCCTTAACCTCCAACTGGTCCAGGGACTGACTGACCCTAATTTCTCTATTGTACATCACTTAAATAAATGCAAAATCTGTATGTATTAGGATTGTGTGTTTTAGCTGCACATACTGCGATATTATACGGCTCCACGGATCTATGGATCTTTTGTTTCGTAGGTACAAAAAACAAAATCGTTTACTATTTTTTAAATACTTCTTGATGTAAAGGAAACAGGTCTTGCCATTCGTCTCTAACAGCATGAGAGAGAGGGTAGCGGGGTGTAATCTGTCTGTTGGACCTGATCCTTCGGTATCAGGACCGATTAGACAGGTGATACCGGAGTGTGAGTGGACCCCGCTGTGATGTTAGAGTGACTCATGTCTGGGGGGCGACGGGGGGCCTCTCTGATGGCCAGTCTATTGGCCCAGGTCCCGAGAACAAGCCGCTATGGGTGTTTTTTTTTTTTTTTGGCCAAATTGCTCAGATCCTCATGTCCCTCACAGAGGAAGCAATCCGGTCCCTCCTTTGTCCAAAACGACAGGAGGAAGAAGGATTCAGGTGGCATTCTGTGGCACTGCTCCAATGACAGTGATACTGTTTCAAATGACAAAGCC